TATATCCCTTATGCAAAGTTATGGTCTTGCTCATTTCCATAACTTCCTGATTTGTTTGACTCGGCGCTGTCTTCCTATTGACCTGTATGTCATCGCGTTCACATTAGAGATATATTAAACATTGAACCGTGCCCAATTTTTAAAGTGGATTTTGCAAAAGCTGTCTTGTAGCATCAAATCCCTCTGTGTATTACATAGTGTATATTTTGGCCTGACATTTCAAGCTTTGAAATTAACCAAATCTGACAACGCTAGGCTTCTCCCTACTTTGTTTCCCTCTATACATTTCTACGCTCTCAAGTTGAAATCCCAAATGCAATTCCAGTCCAAGCGTAAACAATCTCGCAGTTTTCCCAATCACGTGGACTCCCTATAGATTGTGAACTGAACTTTTAATTTTCCAGGAATGTTATGCAAGATAGACAGAGCAGTTTGCCGGAATTTCAACCACAGACTATAAAGACTTTCCCATATGCGGCACGTAAATGCTTCTAGTAGAAAATATTGATTTATCATGGTTGTGTCTTCATATATGTGCTAATAGCTCAGACAGATGGATGGAAGCACTATATACTATTGACTAGACTGGAGTGTACAGAGAGGGAGGTGTGGAAAAATGCTACTAGAAGATAGAAGACTTTTATTTGTATTTATTTATTTTTATTTTATTTTAAGGTCCTTATTGCTAAAAATAACCCGATATTAGTGTAGTGGACCAAACCGAAAGGCAAAGACAAGGTATGAAGATAAGTTTAAAGTCAAAAAGGAAATAATTTAACAAAGGCTCAAATGAGGTAAATCATTAACAAAAAAGAAGCCCCCCCCCCCCTTCCTTTATTGATTCATGGATGGTCTCTGCCAAGGGTCCTCCATCTGACACTCAAACAAACAAAAAGAAAAAACAAGTATAAGTACACAATTCAGACTTATATTAACTAAAATGTGTACACCCAAATGAGAATATAAGTCTAAATAAAGGAATTAAATTATGTGTAATATAATTAACTTAATGTAAATGAAATGAAATAAAATAACACTAACACTGTGGAGTGGCAAAAGTATCCACCACAAGTAGTTACAGGCATAGGGAGAATATGCAAACTACGCACCCATAAAATGGTTTGAACTAGAAAGAAATATTATTACATAAACCAGAGGTGGGGACTTGCAAGTTGTGACTTGGACTTGAGTCAGACTTAAGTCACTATTTTTAGGATGTTTCTCCTAAAAAAAATCAGAATTTCGGAAAATACTTTTCTCTTTACATTTGATAAATGTGGTGCTTAATTTTACAGGAATAAACTGGAACATGTCCCTCCCACTTCTCTGTTTGTTACTTCAGATGTAACTGAAGTACTGTGAGATAGTATCCTCAAATGCACTACAGTATTATTCAGTACAATACAGTAAAACAGAGGAAACTACATAGAACATGATCCTTCCATTTCATTGCAGACTACATAAGAAAATAACTGTTTTTTTTAGCACTTTTAAATCTGAATTCTCTCTGTTCTGATTGTAATGATTCACACTAAGATCTTGTCAAGACATTTAAAAAGGAAAAATTTGCATTTCTATAACTAAAATGTAAATGTAAATACTCATGTATAAATATACCATGACTTTTTAGTTTAAAATTCATATAAATTGCAAAAATCTCAGCTATATTTGGTACTTTGGTTTGAAGACTTGAAATTACTTGAAACTCAAAGCAGACTTGACTTGGACTTATTGGCCAGTGACTCGAGACTTGACTTGGACTTGCCTGTCTTTGACTTGGGACTTGATTCAGACTTGAGGTCAAAGACTTGAGACTTGCAAAACAACGACTTGGTCTCACCTCTGACAGTTTCTGTAATTGCTATAATATCTTACTAGCCACTGCCTCTTTTCTATTGCAATCAACACCAGACTTCTATATCCTCTTTAAAGATGTGCTGTGTAACTTTCCAGGTGGAGGGTCCAACACCTGCTTAATTTTCCTAGAATATCCCACAGTATGGCATTAAATTTGCCTTTACTCAATTACAGTTTTTTATTGCACAAAACGTTTTCTACACACGAGCTGTAACTTGTCACCTACTTGTCTCCATGGAGACAGATATGTTTAATGTCATACTGGGGAGCATTTTGGCAAAGCAGTAACATCCCCACGGAGACAAACCCTCCACTTGAAAAGTCACATAATGCAGTGTTAACATTTTTGCATATTCTGTCCATTTATTTTCTGTGCTGTGAGTTAAGTTCCCCAGTGTTTCTAGGCCTTTCTCTCATCGCCGCAGCCTGATTTTTGTTCTAACATGTGTGATCTTTTCCCCCTGGAGACCGGTGTATGCCCTGACCTCCTGTGCCGAAAACCAAAGCTTTATCTTGGCCCTGGCGTGACACCCGGAGCGGTCCATCACGACTATTATTTCAGCGATTTACATTTTCCATAATAGCTTGGCGGTTCCATGGCGGGTAATTGGCTGCAGTTTGCACTCATTTACGCAACCCTCTCTCCCCATGGATTATTATTGATGACTCCCAGTGAGCTGACTCTTCCTATCTCAACCCAGTTTAAATAATGACTAAGCCTGTGACATACGCTCTGTTTACAATGCTACGGACCCGTTTAATTTATTAGACGATTCCTATATTTTGTGTTTTAAGCTGACTTGACGTTCAGACCACAGTCGGTCAAGTGAATCTCTATCCATCGCAGCACCTGTTATGTATATCTGGTGGTTGTAACAATTTGGAATAAAAGTTGAGGAAAATCGGTTTTGAATTTGTGGGACTCTGCCAAAAGGGACATATTATGAATTCACATTTCCAGCACGTCAGATCTTGTGGGGTGTTCCCAGTCTACAGTGGTCACTATCCATCAAAAGTTGTTCAGAAATAGTACAGAACCTACAGATGGGAACATGGTGTGCCTATGTGGTCTGTACGCGGCTATATTGAGCTGTGTAGTATATCATGACTTCTGTTTATTTCTCCTATAAAAACTATATTTTTTATGTAATTTTTTTGTTATAAATTATACGGGTGCTTGCTCTATCCTGCAAACGAGCAATGCACTGTGTATTTTACAACTGAAATCATAAATCTACAGTTCTTCAGCTCAACCTTGGCGGTACCTGTTTTCTTTCTTTTTTTTTTTCTTTTTTTTTTAATCGTTACCCATTGAGCCAGTAAAAATCTTAAAACAAAAACATAATATTTAGATAACTCAATAATTAGATCTGCTTTTTGAGGAGATCTGATTATTTTATTTAGTTTATTTTATTTTATCACGAAATCCGATTGAGATTACATCACAAATCCTCTTAAATCCTAAGTACACAGTTAAAAACTTAAAACATTTACAATTAATACAATACATAATACATTACATATAAATATTTGTTGAAGTTGTAGTCGACAGTCTGTAATCAATGGATTTTTCGACTAACTCTTGTATTCCAGACAAAGTACAAAGAATTTTTTTAAATGATCTCTTTCAATTTATTATTATTTTTTTCTTTAATTTTTGTTTTTGGTCACATTTTTGCATAATTTTCCTTGACATCACCTGCACAGCTGTGAACAAATAAAAAAAAAATCAGATTAGTCACATCAGATTTACATGGTATTTGAATAATCCAATAACTCCAGAAATCAGATAATGATGAATCAGATTAAGATAAACCTTCATATAAAGCCTTGTCCTTCTAAACAGGTATTACTTCAAGTGTTACAAAATGTGTGTGTGTGTTTCTAGAAGCAATCCACAACTATTTTAAACTAATAATTAGTGGTGTAACGATATGCAAGTCTCACGATATGATATCATCAGAGTATGAACCTCAGGGTACGATATTTATTGCGATATCGTGGGAAAGCTCAGGATATGGTGGGGAGTCTCACGATTAGGGATGTAACAATATCCAAATCTCTCAGTACGATATTTTCACGATATACATCTCACGGTACGATATTTTTTGTGATACTTTTTGGAGGCAAACAAAACTGTTAATATGCTACTTTTTCCTCTTAAAATGCCTTGACAAGACATAATCCAAAGAACTAAGACTTAAAAGTGCTTAGAACTGTTATTGCTTCTTGTAGTCTGCACTGAAATGGAGCAAAGGATCATGGTCTATGTAGTTCCCTCTGTTTTTTTAACTGTCGCTGCACCATAACTCTTAATTTAAGCAAAGAAACTTGTGATTCGATATATTGTGATGGTCCACGATATTATTATGAGAACTTTGACGTTACGATATCACGATATTTTGGTTATTGTTACATCCCTACTAGTAATGCATCACTGGTAGTACTATAAATAAAATATTTAATCTTCCTGCAACCTGCTATACAAATAAAGTGATATTGTCCCGTTCAAAATTGTATTCTCTGAGAGAGCGTTTTATTTCTCAGGGTTAAGGATACAGTACAAATACAGTGTTGTTAAATTGATTTCTGGCTGTACTAAACCTTTCCATTCTATTATTGATGACTCTGCCCTATAGGTAACATCATCATTCATTTCTAGATTTCCCATAACTTTGTATGTACACACACTGTAGTAATAAAGTACTATTGAAGTTCCCTAGCGCAGTACTTTTGTAGAAAGTGCTATCTGCCCTCCTGACACTTCCCATTGCTCTTACAAAGCACTAACCACTCCTCTTATCTGATAGATTGCTTTTAATTTGTCTTCCAAGGGTTGTCCAGACTTTGTAAGAGACAACCAAAAGGGCATAAAAGTTTAAAGGGGGTTTTGTTGCCTGCACTAAATCCTCCTATAAGCTCTGAGTCACTTTGATAGCTTTGTCTATAATTCTGTACTCTTAAAATGCTTATAATACCTATATCGGGCTATAGCTTGTTTTGATAATCTCCACTAAAATGTTCAAGTCTATATATTTGGACCATTACACCTGACGTTATCGGCGTAACTCAGCCGTCTTGTCAAGAGGAGCCCTTTCTTCCATGTTGTATATTTATGATGTTTTGTTTTTCTTTCCGTGCAGCCAGAGAAAATTGGCCAGTCCCCCATCGCCCCTTCGTCGGACGGAGACAAAGTGGACCTGGAAGCCTTCAGCGAGTTCACCAAGATCATCACTCCCGCCATCACGCGCGTTGTCGACTTTGCCAAAAAACTGCCCATGTTCTCAGAGGTGAATATACGCTGCATTTATACAAGTACTTTTAGAGGGAGTTACTATTTCAAATGTCAAATGGTTCACTAATGCAAGCTAGACTCCTAATGCAAAGCTGGAGACATAGCGTACACTGATTTTTATCTACACTGGAAACAGCTGCTGGTACATATTTATCATGAAAAGAACAGTGAACTTATATAAAACTGAAAAAAATAATGTGAACTTGATTGTCACATGTATTGTATTATATTGTATAGCTTTTACTGAACAATTTCCTCCACGAGAAAGAGATGGGCTCACTTAAAGGCAACGTAATAACTTCTCCATGGAGACAAGCAGGTGGTGGAGACGAGGGAGTCTGGATTCATATCCTGTCTCTCTGATTTTATGATTGACAGGCAGATTAGCCAATCAGAGAGACGCGTGGTCCGTTTATGTCAAAACAAACATAGCGTCTTAAATGTAAAGAAGGAAAAGAAAACAAGACAGAGGACAGAGAAACGGTGCAGAGAAGTGAAGCTAAAAAACAAAACTCTTTATTTATTTCTCATAAAAAAAGTTCCATATTTTGTTCTGAATGTTAGGAGAATTTTTTTGAGAATTTTGAGAGACACGTAATACAAATAGCGGGCGTAGTTGGGCTCAGGTTAGGACAGAGGTTTTTTCCTTATTCCTTCAGGATTTGAACAGAATGTAGAAGAGACTGGCTGGTCAGGTAATAGTGACGATGCCCCCAGAAAAGTTTCATAGTGCAGTTTTACGTTTCCCAGTTATAAGTCGAAGTTAAAAGTGGAAAGTGAAGTGATTGTTTAAGTTCTTGTGTGTGCGTTTGCTACAAACAAATGCCAACTTTAGAAAATAGTGTAACTCCAATTGAAAACATGTGAGGAAGTAGTTGTGGCTGTAGAGTACTTCAAGTTGTAGTAGAGCAAGAGAGCTATACTGTACTGTAGTAACTTTACACCACTGAAGGATTGTTGTTTGCTTTCTCAACTGATGAGATCCAAAAGTAGGTCACCAGGCATGTTGCAAGCAAGATGCAATATTCTTTTGTGAGTTTTATGTTAAGTTATATGAGACATTAAATAGGGTTAGACTAAGGTTAGTTATAGACATAATTATATTCTGTTCCCAAGTTGGCGTTGACAAATAGTGTGTGCATTATAGCAGCACCACTCAGCTGTTTCCCTTATACATTTAATAGCATTATTTGTCTTCCCTTTAGCTATAAACCTCCTTAATTTCCTCCTATGGCCTTTAATATATACTATTGTGCTCTGGTGAATTGCGTCTGTAGAGTACTTTGTGATAGGCTCCACAATATGCTGCCCATAATAAGAATATTAGCACATCTGTCTTTTCAATTGTGCCCATAGCTACGCAATCAGTGTGGATGTATGGCCATCATCACCCATTTCACCCATAGTTCAGTATAAAATATGAGCACTCGATATGTGTAACTTTGTCATAGTGGTCAACAAAAAATGCAATATTGCTTCACATTTATATGAAAAATATGATGTCAGTGATATGAAAATGTAAATAAGTCGTAGAATGTTCTTAGATGGTGACGTGGGAGTAGCTTTTGTGTCTGATTGTGATCTTGGGACTGTGTTTGCGTTATCTGGTCCACTACCTTGTAATCATTGTGCCCACAGCTCGTAATGAGGCCTTCTCTGATTGGATAATTATCGAGGTCTATACAGCGACAAGGACAGACAATGTTTGGAGACCGAGATAGGAACTGTAGGTATAGTCGCAGTAGTAGTGGTAGTTTTTGTAGCCAAATATGTGTTTATAAAGCTATATTAAGTTCTTTTAGCAGTGAGGAATGATGCTATAGGTGAGAAATATTTAGAAAAATAATTATGATTTGCTAGTGTTACCTCTGCTTGTTCAGCTGCTGTTTGATTGAAATTGATTGATGATTTTAAAATCCAACCACTCACTCAAATTACAGTAAAGCTCACCTCCACCTATTCATGAATTTATCCAAAAAGAAAACAAAAACACAGTAATAAACATTTATAATTAGGGCTGTGTATCATTAAAAAGTTGCTGATACGATACATACCTCAATACATAGGCCACGATATGATACATATCTCGGTACAGTGCACTTTTGATACGTAATGATATATTTCAAAACGATTTGATACGGTCCAATAAAAAAGTAATGGGTAAATCATGACTGTGATACTAAAAGTTTTTGTTAACTTCTTGTGCAAAGTGAATATAAAACACAAACATTTTAATCAAAACAGTAAAAATGTCGCATAAATGAGTTTTCTTCCTCTGAACAAGCAACAAAACTGTACCTCTGTAACAAAATAATGTAGTAAAATACACCAAAAAATACTCTTTGCGATATATCAATACAGCAGCCCATGATATCAGTACTGCATCATCACATTAAACGATACGACATATCGATATTTCGATACTTTTGCACAGCCGTATTTATAATTAGGCATTATTTGTCACTTTTTATCTGTTTCATAACTATATTTAGTCAAGATGTTTGTTGAATGAATCATGAATCATTTCCTTTCCTAATCTGGAACTCACCTACAAATTTTCTCCTCACTGCAAGCCTCTGTAAGCTTCATTTGACTGGAGCTGAACACTACGGGAGACGTCACACTCCCTTAGTTCTCTTCTATATACAGTCTAAGATACATGGCAAGGCAAAAAATGTGTATGCCAGTGTGTATTTTTGTCAGTCCATTTTTTTATTTTATTTGAAAGCTTATGAAAGTAACATCTACTCGCTAAAATATTCTGTTTATTTTGTATACAACTGATTACAATTTGCAATCAGCCATTTCCATCTTCATATAAACCAGTGTATATTCTGCGCCCTGTTCATTCTGCGGCAGTAATTACAGATAGCAATTTCCTACCCACCAGAAATGAATACATTACTTTGTATCACTGTAATAAATGTATGGTAGGTGTTTACTGTAAGCCACAAGGTACAAATTAACCAGACAAATCACAGCCGATGAATACGGATTAATCCACTTTTGTGTGTAGTGAAATAAACAATGAATTCTGAAGTCAGTGGATTTAATCAAACAGGTTGGGCAGATCTCATTCTCATATCCATGTAAATCAGGCCTGTATTACTTATAATCTGGGCTCATCAGTGCAGCTTCAGCGGGCCCCCTCTGCTCTCCTGTCTCTCCCCTTAAATCATCCGCAGCATTCACCTGCTCCACGCTCTGACCCCCTTTCATTTATTCTGCGCCCTTCGCCTTCTCTTCGCCCTCACGCTGCTCCTGAATCTCTAATGTTCACGAGGGCTTCTTTAAATTAAGGTGTTTGAATAAGGAAAGGCAGGTATTAAGATGAGGCTTGGCAAATAAAAGGGAGTTTTCTTTTCTTGATCTGGTCTTTCCTTTTAGTAATAATGATAATAATGCAATAGGCTTATATAGCGCTTTTACACACACTTAAATATGCTTTGGATTTTTTATGCATTATTCATTCACTCTGGACTTCTGTTAAGCTTTCCAAGCACTCACATGCACCACATTTAAAACCGGCAAAACTGGTGAAGTGTCTTGCCTAAGAACAAAACAACACTAAAGCCATAGAGACACTGTTGTCCCAAAGTTCCTCTTCTTCCCAGAGGTTTTCAATTCAAGTACTAAGACCTAACCAAAATATAAAAGAGCAATAATATTGTATGTATATGTTTAATAGAGGAAGAAGAATAAGAGGAGAAAAGTTAATCAAGTGATAAGGAAAGAGAATGCTTAAAATTTACTCGAGGGATGTAACAATAATTGAAATATCGTGATATCATATCGTCAAAAGCCTCACAATAATATCGTGGGCTGTCACAATATATCGAATCTCAAGTCTCTTTGCTTAAATTCATTGTTTTCGTGCAGCAACAGCTAAAAAAATAGTGAGAACTACATAGACCATGATCCTTTGCTCTGTTATGAAGCCCTTTAAAATCTAAATTTTTGGGATTTTTGGATGATGAGAGAAAAGTAGCATACTCACAATTTTGTATTATTATTATTTGCCTCCACAAAATATCTCAATAAATATTGTACCGTGAGATGGATATTGTGAAAATATTGTATGAAGAGATTTGGATATTGTTACATGTGTATATGATTATACTTCCACGTACTCCTTTTCGAACATGTATATAATTCCTTGTATACAAGGATTATTTCATGCCCATTATCGGTTGGTTTTCATATGCTTTTATTTTGTTTTGATACTGTTTTTTTTCTGTGCATGTTCAAAAAAAAAAAAAAAACAACACCTCTTTGCTTTCCAGATCGGATGAGATCAGTCATTTGGTATCACTTTTACACAGTGTTAGTTTGTCATGGCTTGATGGATGATGTAACAAAACATTAAATGCACATTATGTAATGCTTCTGCTACATTTCTGCTTGTCTTCAGTCCATAAAGATACTTTTTATATTGCTTTGCCTGAAATGTCCCACAATATGGAATTTCACTTTATCTCCATGAAGACAAGCACAGTGATGGAATGTAATGAAGTAAAAGTAGTAAAGTACTGTAGTTAAGTTTAAAAAATGTAGCTATCTGTACTTTACTTAAGTCAGTTTTACAGTGGATATGTTGTACTTTTACTTACTACATTTGAGAGCATGTAATTGTACTTTCTACATATTCACTACATTTTTTTAACAATACTGAAAAGTAAAAGTATTTTTATTATTATATGAGACCTGCTGAAAAGTTGAGGCACAAATCTTTATCAACATCTCTATATTGGAAGTTTTATTAGATCTCAAAATCTGAATGAAATGCTTTTACTTTTTACTTGTTGATTTTTTCATGGGATATTTTTACATTTACTTGAGGTTTTTTTTTTTTCCAGTATCTGTACTTTTACTTGAGCAACAAATTTGATCACTTCTTCCACCACTGGACAAATGCAAAATATATGAATATAATGGCACACTATGGAACATTCTGTACAAAAGAATGATTATTTTCCCTTCCTTTCCTTTGAGTTGTTCTTGAGCTCATGTGTGTGTGTTTTGCAGCTGCCTTGTGAGGACCAGATCATCCTGTTGAAAGGCTGCTGTATGGAGATCATGTCTCTGCGAGCCGCCATGCGCTACGACCCTGACAGTGAGACGCTGACCCTGAGCGGAGAGATGGCGGTGAAGAGGGAGCAGCTCAAAAACGGAGGGCTGGGCGTGGTGTCTGACGCCATCTTTGACTTGGGCAAAAGCCTGGCGCAGTTCAACCTGGACGACACAGAGGTGGCACTGTTACAGGCAGTGCTGCTCATGAGTTCAGGTGAGTTAATTCTGTCCTTATGCTACACCTGAAAATCTCTTCTCTCTTCTCTCCTTCTTTCATCAGTTGTGATAGAAAATACTTTGACTAGATTTGAGCAGACAGGGTGCACCAAGACATTTTATCTTATTTTAAGTGGAATAATGCCTTTTCCATCGATAATGGTTTTTCAAGAGTAGTCAGAATCTGCTCTTATTAAGATAAGTACTCCTCAGTTGAAGCACCCACTCACTTGTATTATTTTTTCAGTGTACGTTTCCTTACAAGCGTATAGAGGCAGACTGGTTACAGTGCAAAAAGCCAAGTTCAGATGACTTGAATTAAGAAAGTTTTATCATGATTTGAGTAAATTTCACTTGACAAGTAAAATTATCTGCCAATGGAATAAGACTTTTTGTACTTAAAATATGAAAATAAATCTTGTTACACTTAAAATAAGGAAAACATTAACTCTTTGCACTTAAAAGAAGAAAAACACACTTATTCCATTGGTAGATAATTTTACTTGTCAAATTAAATCCACTCAATAACTTTTAAATGATGACTGTGATACTAAAAGTCTTTGTTAAACCACTTCTTGTGCAAAGGTCATATAAAACACACACATTTTAATCATCAAAACAGTGAAAATGTGTTGCACAAAAGAGTTTCCTTCCTTTGAACAAGTGACAAAACTGTAGCTGTAATGAAATAATTGAGTCAAATATTCCAAAAAATACTCTTGGCGATATATCGATACAGCAGCCCACGATATCGATACTGTATAATCACATTAAACAATACGATATATCAATATTTTGATACTTTTGCACACCCCTATTTATAATTAGTTATTATTTGTCACTTTTTATCTGTTTCATAACAATTTTTTTTATTCTATACTGTACACTTTTGTTATGTTTTTTTCATGGTACGTTTCCTTACAAGTGTACAGAGGCAGACTAGTTACAGTGCAAAAACTAAAATCTAGCCAAGTTAAGTTGACTTTAATTAAGAAAGTTTGATCATGATTTGAGTAAATTTCACTTGACAAGTAAAATTATCTGCCAATAGAATAAGACTTTTTGTACTTAAAATATGAAACTTGCTACCCTTAAGACAAGAAAAACAACAACTCTTTGCACTTAAAATATGGAACAAAATGTAATGTTGCTTGAATGGTTGATAATTTTACTTGTCAAATTAAATCTGCTTAAATAAAGTAAAATGTTCCAGTTTAAGTCATTTTAACTTGCTTAGATGTGACTTTTTGCAGTGTGGCTTCAACTGCTCCAACCACCAGTAATACACTTCTATTATCCCCTAGTGAATGGATTTGATTACGAGTGGTTGACTGTGAATCTCTGTCCACATAATGGCATTATTCAGTGATGCCATATTGGACAATGTGAAAGTGATGTATCTGAAGGGTTTTGTTCACTTTTGCTTTGTGTATCATTTCTTTGTAATTCTTGCCAAAATGCTGTAATCCCCCATGTGTGCCTGATCATGCACCCGGCAGCCTAAGCCAATAGCCCTAACTTTGATCACAGACAGATTCGAATAGTACTTTTAAATATGTCAGCACGTGTATGGGTAGTTTGCAGACATTGTAAAGGAACCATAACTTAACATATTTAGGCTGACTTCTTCTGTCAAACTGAAAACACTCTGTTGCACCTTGTGATGTCACGTGGCAATACAGGAAGTGCTCCACTGTGTTTTAAACTCTACTATACAGCTTCACTAGAATCATTTGGAAAATTTCAGCCCCGGAATTGACAATTTCTACTGAACTAAAGGTAAAAGGAGCTGTTAACTTGAAATCTAACATGACATCACAAGTTGGAACAGAGCATTTTGAGCTTTGGAGATGTAGACAGACTATCGGAGGTGGGGGACTTGCAAGTTGTGTGTTGGACTCGAGTCAGACTTGAGTCACTATTTTTATGACTTGAGACTTGACTTGATAAAATGGACTACGACTTGGGACTCGACTTGGACTTGAAGGTCAGTGACTTCGGGCTTGACTCGGACTTGAGGCCTGTGACTTGGGAAGACTTGAGACTTTTAAATCTGAATTTGTTCTATTATGACTGTAAAGATTCACACTAAGATCTTGTAAAGACATTTAAAAAGGAAAAATTAGCATTTCTACAACTCTTATATAGTCTATAAATACTCATATATTAATATACTAGGATTTTGTTTTTAAGTACAGTTTAGTTTAAAATTCATATAAATTGCAAACACTAAGCTCTATTTGGTAGTTTGGTTTAAAGACTTGAAATGATTTGAAGCTCAAAGCTGATGACTTGGACTTGACTTGGATTTAAGGGACAACAACTGGAGACTCGACTTGGACTTGTCTGTATTTGACTTGGGACTTGACTCGGCCTTGAGGTCAAAGACTTGAGACTTACTTGAGACTTGCAAAACGATGACTTGGTCCCACCTCTGCTAATAATAATAAAAGATTACTCCAACATGTGTGAATGAAACAAAACACAATTTGTGGTATGCTTTTAAAGAGCCAACATTCTAGCTCACAGGAGTCAGTTTTGTGTAATATAGGACCTTTAAAGCGAGTATAGCCTGGTACACACCTGAGTTGGCTTGTGCATAGTTTGAGGTGCTTTCTGCCTAAAGAATGTGTCCATGTGGCCTCCAGACCAGAGCAGGGCGTCTGGCTGCAGAGTTCTGAGTGTCTGTATTCTCACCAGGCGGTCCTGCTGTCCTTCAACGATTGGATCATGTAAAACATATGCGGAGGCCTGCCATCACATTCTGTCTGCACGTTTATCTGCAACACTTATGCAATATCCTCCAGCAGAGAGCTCCGAACTATTGTTTGAGATTTGAAATCTCACTGTATCTTAAATAATAAAAGGATGGTGGATGTATCCAGATATATACTGTGCTGTATTTCTATAACTGGTCAACGATTGTTCAGTAAATAGTAGCATGATGATTTGTTTCAGTGAAATCAAAACTGCAACCAGTGCAATACTTTGATTATTGCAGTAAAACATAAGTCTCCCTGCAAACGATAAACTCTGTTGTCTGTTTCTGTATAAAACGTGCCAACTCTGTAGTTTAGACCTCTATAAACATCTTCTGAAAAGCATGTGATAATTTTATTAGTTTAGCAGTTCACATTTCAGTCTCCCAAATGTGAAGGCTTCTGGATGTGGTTACGATGTGGTTACTGTTCTGTATTATGTCTCTTTGTAACTGTTTTGTATTTTGTTTTGTTTTCTGTGACACCTGCCTGGGGACAACAGATGGAAATTAGCATCTCTGCTTTTTATAATCTGGCATATGTACACTGTAATTACACATGCCCGTTAATATGCACTGTCCATATCTAATAAACAAACAAATACATAAACAAATAATAATAGTAACAGTAAGTAATAGTATTGGTAGAAGTATTTATATTAACAACCCAGTGATATTAGTATACGTGATTATGAAATTACAGTTAGTCTGATGCGGTCACCCAAACCACAAGAATGTTGTGTTGTGCATATACATATTTTTGCTCTTAAAACTGTGTGTGTAAGTCCTGAAGTAACTGTTATTGCGTCATTTCACTGGTGTCCATATAATTTCCCCTGTGGATCAAACACATTTGTCTATGTCGGTTGTAATAAACATTCAACTTCATTTGTGTTATGCAACTGGTACTGACATGTGCACTACTTCCTGGTGCATTTACAGTACCATGATCTCCTCCATTACTTTAGTTTAATCAAACAAACCAGTTTATTCATTTGTTTACATGTTTCGTACTTCTCCATCTGATCTTGTCTCCTCTGCTCCACAGACCGCTCGGGCCTCACATGCATGGACAAAATCGAGAAGTGCCAGGAGACGTACCTGCTGGCGTTTGAACACTACATCAACTACAGAAAGCACAACATTCCCCATTTCTGGCCCAAGCTCCTCATGAAAGTGACTGACCTGCGTATGATCGGGGCCTGCCACGCCAGCCGCTTCCTGCACATGAAGGTGGAATGTCCCAACGAACTCTTCCCGCCCCTCTTCCTGGAAGTCTTCGAGGACCAGGAAGTTTGAAATCACCATGACAACACATCAGAAAGGGAAGAGGCTGAAAGATCGGGAAGTAGGGCCGTCATTTTGTTTTTGGAAAAAGCCGACTCCAACGGCAGGAATCGCGACATGTAAACGTGGTTTTGAAACTGGAACAACTGACGAATCCACAACTCACCAGCAACAAGAGAGTCAACCAACAGGGCTTTTGTTTTACCTCCTCCTTTTTATGCTTTTTTTGAAAACCGAAAATGGGGGCCCTTCTGTCTGAGCATGATGTCTTATTTAGTCCGAGTTGTAGCCATTTTGCCAAGAACGCGTATATATATACATATATATATAAAAATACACGTAAGACGACAAAACAAAGCCGCACCTCAGTCCTTCATATAGGGGACCGCTTCACCCCGTCCGATTCGATGTAGTCCTTTTATACATCACTGATTTATTGTTTTGTTGTTTTTTTTACATAAATTTTTCCAGCTTCCTCGCTAACCAGCACCTCTCAGTATTATGTCTGAAGTGTTAAGACAAACTATACAATACAAACATGCGCACACTTACATTCAGCAAGACACTGCACGTTGAAAATTTCAGCTTTGTTGTACAATGGCTGCTGTAAAAGCAAACCTACCAGACCTAACTATATCTGAGCCGTTACAGCTGATATGGAGCTCCTCAACTTCTTAAATACTTGTCTCGACTGGTGCTATATTTTACAAAGCTCCTCCAGTTTTATAATTGTGTTATCTACTTGCAGACCATGGCTCCATATCTACCTTCATGTGTGTCATTGGACTGTCTCCGGTGGCACACACACACTCACACACACCCACACACACGCACACACACACGCACAGAAGTTAGTAGACCTGCTTTGTCATTGCCTTCGCTGCCTTTGCCAGCAGCCGAGCATCTTATGAATGACAATTAAGTCCTTCTCTGTTCAAGGAGGCACTAAAGGAAGAAGGAGAGGAGAGAGAGGTGGAGAGAGGGATGGAGACACTTAGGAGGCCAGCAGAGCCATGTGGAAATAAGATTTAATAGTTGGTGTGAGATGCAGAGCCAGGGGTCAGAGGAGATGTATGCCTCCTGAGAGAGGAGGGCTTAAAGCAGCAGAAGGCAGCAGAGCTCATGTTACAGACACTTCTCTATCTCCTCTAAACAAACAGCACCACCTCAGAGTAACGAGAATGCCTCATTTACTGTTCGCACTGCAGCTCAGCAGTGTCTGTATGCGCCCGTACCTGCAGGGTGTGGGGTCCTCCTCTAGGGGGACCCCTCTCAGTGCGGCCCGTCCAGGCTGATCACACACATGCCTTTACCCACGGGCCTCACTGAGTGCAGGCTAATGCCAAGAAGGCTACTACATTTACCTCAGACACACCCCGGGCTGTGCCCTGTGCTGTCAGGCACTACCTCACTCTGGACACAGGGCCGACACACACAGTCCAGTGTCACACACACGTACAGTCGTACACACACCTCAGTGCTGGTTTTATGTGATACCACTGAAGACAGGAGGGCCGGCCATGCCCGCACATGGAGGGCATGGTACCCATACATTTGGCTTGTGTTTTTGTTTTTATGTGGGACCAAGTGTCACCCAGAAGGACACTGCGGATGTCCCGCCCAGCGGACACCCAACGAAGCCAGATCCGAGAGTAACTCAAACCCACGAGGCCACGCCCGCTCGAATAGAAATGCATAGAAATGGCTTGAACATCTTCCGGTACACTTCTGATCAGCCACTGGATATTGTCCTATTTTTTAACTAGTCAACAGAAGCTTTTCTGATCTTCACGTTCTACCGGTGCTCACGACAATAACTCCAGGTCCACTGCTCCGTCCACAGCAGTACTCACTACTCTCAGATACAAAGGCAGATAACTGTATAACGTCATCAGAAGAGGCCACTCTGTTCATTCCAATTCTTGGGGCCAAGCCAAAACTAACTGGGTTTACCACTCACTGCATTGGAACAGGACAAAAATAGAGACTGAAATTGTTTCATAATTGATGCCAAGCAGTAGACGATACTGAGCACTTAACGATGGCTATTGTGCACCTCTCAGAAGACACCAGTGTGAAATCATAACCGCTCAAAGATGGCTGCTCCTCACTGCTTCAGTTTGGCAGATCATTGGAGAAAGTGGAACGGCACAACATCAAATCGAATCTCATGCAAATCCCGAGCCTCCCCGTCTGATGTGACCCTCCCTGTGTCGTCGCCACGGCAGCCAGGCTGCGTGGAGGTTTTTGCACTACCGCAATCCCCCCAAACCCCCAAACCCAAATCACTTTGAGACACCAATCGTTAGGCGCCTGCACATGTGACCCTTCCCCAGGCGTCTGTACCTGCTCTGTTTAACAGAACAGCTCCTGTGGGCCCAGTCCCAAACCTGTCCCCCAGTCTCAGTATTCAAACACAAATAATTGGATTCAAGGGATGAGAGGTCTGTCTGCTTTTCCTCTCCTTTGCTCCCTTTTTTTTTTTTTTTTTTTTTTTTTTTTTCAAATCAACCCTCTCTTATTCCCTCCCAACTCAAACATGCAGTTTGTCCCAAAAAAATAATTGAACCCGACCCAAAAACCCAGGCCATTTTCCTTGTGAGACAAGACTGGCCAAAAGTGAATGAATGTGAAACAAGCGGTGACGGAGAGCGAGAATGTGCGCATGTACGAGACGAGAGTTTGGGATTATGGATTCTTTTTGAAAAACGCAGAGGGCTTAAAAAGAAACCCTCACTGCCATTACAGACATGGGTGCGAACGGGATGGTTGTGAAGACATTGTTAACTGGAGAAGGGAGGCACAGGAATATTATGTACTCGCTCCCTTCTCAACACAACTCATCCCTCAGACAGCTGACAACCCCTCAGCGTACCCCTCAGCTCCTTCCAAAAAGGATAGTGAAAATGTTTAAACCCACGAAAAGTCAAAGAGGAAATAATAGAGATGCAGGTTTGGAAACACGTCTTTAAAAGAACTGTACGAAAGAAGAGGAGGAGAAGAATCGTGTGTCCTTGTTGTTGTGAGCTGACTGGGTATGTGTGCGTCACTCGGGGTTAACAACGCTGCTTGATTTAGAAAAAGAAAAAAGCTATAAGAAATGAGTATAAATCCATGAAACAAAAATGAAAAGATGACTTTAAAAAGACTCCTGAACAAAAATTATCGGAGATTAAGCTTTTTTCATTTTATCATTGTTTTTGTATTTTTTTCTCTGTTTTTTGATGCTTAAAAACTGCTCTGTGTAAAAGATAAAAAATACAGCTGTAGTCACTTTTGACCATGCGTGCAGTGTAACATAGAAAAACTATTTCACTTCTTTTCCACATCTGTAGTTTGTGTTGATAAGCCAACTGATTTGTCCGTGTGTCTGTCCAGTTGTCCGTCCCCTTTTATCAGGAGGAATCTTTCAAACAACAAAACAGGAATCTTTTTTTTTTCTTTTTTTTTGTATTTTGTTTGTTGTTTTTTTAATGAAATACAACTTTGGAAAGAAAAGTTTAAAAACACAAAACACAAAAAAATTATACAAAGAAAAAATACTATTAAAAAAAGTTACACAATCTTATCATACCTCACACAACACGAAACTCAAAGGAACTTGGGAGGAGTCATATTTTGCAGGCACATGTACAAGTGCAAAAATGCATATTATAAAAGTCTATGTTCAGATAATACTTGCTTGTCTGTACGCATCAGTACAAGTTACAAAAGGAACAACTTCATCGAGCTGCGGGGCCTTTTCTAAAATTGGACTAAGGCGGGGGCTATCGGGATGCGTATATTGGGGACATCCTGTTTTAACGGCACAGCGGATAGCAGATTGTAGACCATTTAAAAACCTAAAAATGTGAACGCCCCGTAGCTAGACTGAAGCTTGACTTTTGTATTATTTCTGAGTGTTTTTTGGTAATGAATGTAGCTGACAGGAGGGGCCTGGACCTGAGCCCGGCGCCCTACAACCTATAACTTCCACACACCAGCAGAACCAATATAGTGGTGTCACATAGACGTTACCAACCAACCTACAAAACTGAGAAATCTATTGCCCGTCTGCAAGGTGCAATACAATGTTGTATGTATTTTTCTATGTTCTGTTTTTTGATTTCCATTTTTTTGTTTTTGTTTTCTTTTGGCCATAACCAAGGATGTAAATACAAAAAAAAAGATTTAATAATAACAGACCTACAAAACACTCAATGTACCAAGATATATAAACTACAGTGAACTCATCCGCTCCATCCTGATTGTCATGTAGCTCAAAGATGTCTGCTTACATACATCTGTCTATATATGTATGTGTGCACTTTCACTATGGTGCATGACGTTAATCATTGAAAACCTGTGCCTCCTCTTGTTCACAAAGAGATAGATTTTTCTTACCCCTCATGTTGTCGCAGTGGCACTAGTCTGTGTAGTGTCTAAATCAGATTATACCAGTCCCCCTCTTCCCTGACGACGGAGCCCGGTGCTGCCAGTGGCCACAGCGGCGCAAAGGTTAGTGGGGCGCAGAGGGGGAGGGGTTAGGGGTCACGGGATATTAATAGATCGTATAGGACTTAAAGTGCATATGGCAGGTTAGACTTTCACGAAAATATAGTGACATCATTATATTTAAGCTTTTACTTTATAAAAAAAAAAGCTTGAAATTTACTTGGATACAGGCAGCAAACAAAAAGTGTTCTTTAACTGTTACCTAGCAACCGTAATGAAACTCAAACTTGTCTAAATTGCAGAATAGTTACGATTAAACTAATAAAAATAAACAATAGCACCTTTATTTTTTTAAATGAATTGTCAGAAAAATGTCAGAAAAATGCCTTCCTTGTGCATAAATTGTCAGCATAGGTAGAAATATTCCGTTTTAGAATTAAGCGCTACTTCCTCTATTTTTCGGTGTAAAAATATGATAAATATTTTCCACAGGTACTACCCCCAATACCCCCAGTAATTATCAGACAAACATGAACACCTGTCATATGCACTTTTATCAGGTTCAAGCGTGCGTTTTGGAGCACTGGCTGCTGGCTGCATGGCTCTGTCTCAGGTGGAAAGCGCTCCTCATTTTGACCACCACTGCCTCACTGGAGCCAGATAGAAAATCTCACTCGATGCTAGTTACTAACGCAGAGAATAAAAATGTTAAAATATAGGGTTAGGGCTATGGGTTAGAGTTTGTATACATGTTGCATTGCTTTTAATGTAATGCAATTTTGGGGCATCTTAAAAACACTACAAATATATAAATCTAACTATAGCCTGATAAAAAAAAGTACTTCAAAATAGAAAGAAAATACCTACCTGGCTAATGTTTGATTGATAAAAGAACTTACAAAGTACCTTTTTGCCTTTTTTTTTTTCTTTTTTTTTTTGTTGTCTGTTAAGAGTTCCCACCACAGATTGGCACTGGTTGATATAATCATATGTTGTCAAGTTCCATATTTTACTATTTGTTATGTAACGTGTAATGTTGGTGCACTAGGCCACCATTACCTAAATTGAAAACAACCAACTATGTAATTTGGACATATGCATATGGTTTTAGATCAGATGCCCTGTAGAAATGGGTAGTAGTTGAAATGAGAAACTTTTCCATGTGAAGGTTTTCTAGGCTGGCTCCTTCATAAATGCTCCATGGATGTTCTGATCATGTTTTGTTCTAACATGTTGACACATTGGTCAAGGGTTAGAGATTGTCTGTGCTGTTTTTTGGTTTTTGGTTGTGTTCAGTTCCCCCTCCCCTATGCCAAATGTAAAGTTTATGAAGACATGCAAGTAGCAAGATGTCTATGCAATTTCCCTCTAAGTCCCTCTGAGTGGCAAACCTCATTGTTAACAGCAGAGTCCGAATCCGATCAGGACCAGGCGGTGAATCCAGAGGTTCTTTGACCCTAAAAAGCAAAGACCCTTGCTACTTTGTCCTGGGGCAAGGGTCTGGACTGACCCACAGACCGGTCAGTCCGGGTCCCGAGAACTAGTCGGAGGGGAACTGGGGATGTTGTGGAGAATAAGATGTTTGTAAACTGTTCAGAAAGTTTTGTGTGTGCGCGTGTATCTGTCGTTCAGTGGGCTGGGTCTCATTTCACCAGTGCTCTCACATTCAGGTGGGTGGATCCAAGTTTGAATCAAAAAAATTTCAGCAACTCCATAAATCAAAACCGTTTCCAAAACGCGTGTGAGAAGCTTTAATGTTTTTACTTTGACTAAAGAAATGTAATGTCACTGCGGGTTTTGTCAATCAGTGGGACTAGTTTACGTCATTTTTTGCAATCAGAAATGTTTAAAAATCGCCCAACTGAAAAGACAACCTGCTGACCCTCTATTCTTCTTAAGCACTTAAACAAGAAGCACTTTGAATGCCCCCAACCAACCCCATTGTAAATGGAAGAATCATGGTTGATATGAGTACTTATTAAACTGCACCCAATGCCAAATGCCCTTTGCACCATTTGAATTAGCTTAATCCTTTATTAGAAAACAGCCTTTAGGCTACAGCCGAACGACAAATTATTAAGTTTACAAGTCTTTTTAATGAAGTGCAATAAGTGAGTGAATGCTGTGTTTCTGCTCCAATCAAGTCGCCCTGCCATTTGTGGACAGAATTAATCTTTGGAAATAGCTTTGTAAAATTCCCCTTCACCTTGGAGAGCGCTGGCCCCTCCCCCCTGCAGCTCCGATCCACGCGCACACCACACACAGACCACTTATTGTGACTGGGTCAAGGAAGCTATTGAAGGATTCTCTCAGGTAAAAGAACATTTTCTAATAAATGATGATGAACCTTAGACGAAAACAACATTGTTACTTGATGTTTTGTGTCTTCTTGAGTCTGTTCTGTGACGGTACCTCACCCTTACTGCTCTTTACATCCATTCATGCTTTTAGTCTGGTTCTGTCCGGATGGGAAGCTCAGTTTTAGTCATGTGACACACCACCATTTTGAAAAGCCAATATTATTAGTCGGATTCAAGATCATGATTATATTCTCTTTTTCTTAAAGTGCCAGCAGCAATATCCAGGTCTGCCATATACAAATACTATATCTAGAGTCTTTTACAGTTTCCTTTGGAGCTTTCCGTCCACGCCCTGGTTTCTCAGTGTGCTTACTTGGCTGTAACATACTGGATGGTTCCGCATGGCTACCACATTAAGGCTGTGCATGTACATAGGTGCGCATGTATCTCCGTTTCCGTGGTGCGTATGAATGAATGTGTGTGCGTACGGCGCTGATATCTGACCTGCTTTGCTTTTTGTTACCCCTTAAACCTTTTTAAAAATATACACAAATATAAGCACCTTTTTTGGCCGCAACGCTTTGGTACAAGTTGCGTACTTGTTACTATTACCTTCGAAGAATGTAACTCATTAAGTGTTCACTGGGCTGAGGGGAGGAACAAGATGTAGTGGGAAAACAAGAGGTGGAGTTGTAAGATTTGGGCGATTTTTCAAAGAGTTTTGACAAATAGGAGACAAATTGTTGCCAGCAGAGCAGAGATTACTGCGGCGGTTGCAGTTTGAGGCGTTGTAATTTTGTTTCCTTTTCCAAATGATGGCCTTATTGATTGTTGCTGCCTCCTGTGTAGCATTGTTTTACAACGTGTTATAGGGCACTGGAGGATTTTTCTAGAAGAGAAATGCATGCTGTACAGTCAATGGGATCTGAGTGAATTAGCGTGGCATTTTGTAGCTGTCCAGGGGAATCCCTCGAGTGATTTCGATATTAAACAGACACATATAAAGACCATAGCTTTTTCATGTCACTACAATAGAAGGCAGTGGGGATAATGAAGCTCTTGAGATGCAAACTAATGTGTTGAATCAGCATGTAGGATCACACGGAACAAATTGCAAATTAAACAGTGTTATATGACTGTTATGAGACAAATCCGAAAATTACCCAATCATAGCACACCGCGCCATTCCGGTCTCTGGACACCTGCTAGATTTCATAGGTTACCGTAGAAACGCTAAATTCTTTCTAAACTAGCACTTACCGTTTCTGTGTGGACGGCTTCTTACAGTGTTAAGCGTCGCTGAGATTATCTACACAAAGATTTAATGGCACGAACTGTTAAAAGCTAAAGCTGACATTATGTATTAAGGCAACATGGTGTTTATCTGTTCATAATGGACTTCGCTGACATTTTTGAAAGGTTTTTTTAAAAGTATGCTCAAATATTGAAGATCTCTGCCTACTGTGCTGAGGCTTTGGACCTATCTCGCAACAGCATACAGTAGTTATACAATATAGAAGTAGATAAACGAGAAGTTAAAGCAGGGGTGGGACTTGAAAGACAGATATTTTGTCGGGATATTTCAATAACATGGGATATATTTTCTACATATCCCGTGTTATTTTTTCTCTTATAAGGTGGATTACCAAAAAAAAAACTGCATCCATCTACTCCTGGTCTGGCCCTTCTGTCAAATTTTAGATCCCTTTGTGACCCACGAGTCAAAAAAATTTGCCACCCTCTGAGTTAAAGAATTACTGCTCCACCATTCTTTGTATGAAATGTCTTGCCCAAGGACACAATGACAGTCTCCATTGGGTCAGACTTCAATAATACAATAAGGCCATAGTTTAAAGTTTAAGCCATACACTCCAAATTGTCTGGTTGTCTGCGATGCCATTTTGTGATGCCATGACAACAGAAAACTTTGCACAATTTGGGAAGCCATTACACTGAGTTGAAAACACTTAAATTTGTTAAGCGAAGCCCACAATTCTGCATTATGTTGTCTTAATACTTAATCTCAAGGTTTATTTTTTACAGTGTCGTGATATTCTTTTAAACGGGTAGGAATTTGTATGCCTAGACAGCAAAGAATGTAACCAAATATATATATAACACAACACAATATTGGTACAGTATGAATTTAAGCTATACAAGAGAATTGATTGGTATTGTGCGAATACATGTGTTCTAGTTTGAGGAGATGTGTTCTTATAACTCTAATATATGCAATGCTTTGTTTAGGGGGGTTCAACGAAAGAATTGGGTTGCTCAGGTTTGACAAGCCGGCCTTAAAGGGTGCTTCTCCCTCTCCCTATGTCCATAACCCTGTCTTGTGTCCCTCACCACATCTCTCTGAAAAAATACCAACTTCTTCGGCACATACAACAATAAAAAAAAAAAAAAACAATGCAAAACCGGAAATCTCTTCTCAGCTGTCTGGACAGTTTTTCCACTCTCCGTAGCAGGTCCAAGCCACTTATTCAACACCAGCAAAAAAACACCAACAACCACCTCTTTACGGCTCCGATGTCCACCAGGAAATGTAATTCTTACCACCTTCTTGCTGTCTACGAGCCGAAACTGTTGCATGTACATATTTGCGATGTATATAGTCTGTATTTAAAAAACTGAGCAAAAACACTATGCTTTTGAAGACTTCACAACAGCAGATAACGGTGGACGATTTCAAGTCCTTTCAAAGTCCTGCAGCAGTTGCCGTTGGTGGTGTTTTTAAAAGCGATTTCTGCATATGTTGTACAACTGTCTGTAAAACTGTAGTGTCTATCTTGCGGTCCACTCTACCATAATGTAACAAAAGTGGCCTGAATCTTCACCTGCGAAGAACACATTGCTATGAATATTTAAAGAAACTTAACGCTACGGTGTTGACATTGTGAAACCGTTTACATTTCGTGATTTAAAAACATATATGGTCTGGACAGTGCATTTTGATTGGCAAGCAAATGGTTAAACCTCAACAATCTGTGAAGTTCTCTGGGTTTTTGTTTTGTTTTGTTTTTTTAAAATATATTTTTACTCTGTTTATCTCAAGGACTAAGTTGAGCTGGTCTGTTTCTCACACACAAACGTGACTTCGGAGAAAATCTATCCAAAAACCAGCAGCCGAAAAATATATATAGATCTATATATAAAGACGTATATAGCCTCTGATACCAACAACCACAAAGCTAGCTATAATCGTTCACCACCACAATAACGTTGACGTCCTTTCAGATATTTATATTTTTTGTACGGCTCCTTTAAGAGTTCCCTTGCTTCACTGTGACGGTGGCAAAGGCTGCTGGGAGACGAAAAACGAAAATAGCGAGAGTTACAGGAGATACTCAGGGCCCATGATAACAGGTCTTGCTTGGGTCGGCGTTAAGCAGGTGCCAAAGACAGGATCTTCTAGTTGGTTATGAATGAAGTTAAGTCTGGAGATTTTCGTTACAAAAAAGTCAGGCTGGACCTAAACCGAGGCGTTGTCGCGTGAGAAACTTGTGGTGGTTGAGAATGTGAAACCAAAGGCAACGTGGATCCACATAATAATGAATGAAAGCAGAGGAGAGTGATCAAGTTCACCTTAGGCTACAAACCCACAGACAGTGAGTACAGTGTGCGGGAGAAGCATGCCATTTACCATAAAAAGACAAGGCTGCGGCCATCTTGGATAGCAACAGGAACGGCTGATCTATCTTAATCTTGCGACCAGATTCCATTAAGTCTTTCACGGAAAACCCAGAACACTGTTGGTCTTGTGCTGCCTCCATTGTCTGGTACTGAGTGACTTCTCCACCTCACAAAAGCCATAGGCAGACGAAGAATGGGGGTTGTGGTTGTAGCCAAAAAGGCCAAGGAAATCAACTCAAGGCTCGGCTGCGTATCTCTGATTGGAATTTTAATCGGCTACTTTATATTATATAGACTGAAGCAATTTCACTTCAGTTTTAAAGCACATTTATGGTGCTTTTTGCTACATTTAAAGAGTAGGTCCATTAATGACATAATTTATTATAATGACATTTCGTGGTAACTCTGAGAAATGGGGAATTAGGTATATTTATGAGCTTTTATGGTTTGGTTTTAAAGTATCTTTTTTTGGTTGGAGGTCCATCACTTTTGCTCTTTGCTTTTTTTTTTTTTTTACAAATATGTCATTGCTCTGCCTGGGATGTTCCACAGTATGGCATTAAACAACTCTACCTTACATTTATTCAGTTACAGTTGGGTTTATAGCGCAAAAATACCAAGAAAAACAGGTATTCTGACTGCGAGCGAGGTTGAATCTTCACAGATCTGACCTGTAACTTGGTCTAGTTTGGTCTCCATGAAGATAGAAAGATTTAATACGATACTGTGAAACATTCCAGACAAAGCGATAACATCTTCACAGAGAAAAGCATTTGATGGAGCCTCCACCAGAAAAGTTCTAAAAATGTGTTAAAAATATCCAAAGAAATGCAAATTACGACAACTTCGCTTCAAGGTTTTTGGCAATAGGTATTCCAAGTATGCAAAAATCTTAAAACTACTCCACTCTTCTACTGTCTATGTCTAAATCAGTTAAATTCATGTAGAAGGTAAAGTCTATAGCAATACATGACAACTCAAATAGTGGCAGATGTTTGTACTTTGTGAATTATCAGTAAAAGACAATGGCGAACACAAGACCAGCTCACGTTTTTTTCTTTTTATTCTAATAACTGAATGGGACTCTTCAAAAAAAACAAAGCACATTGGCAAACGACATGCAAGGACGTACTGAAAAGCTTTAGGCGACGCTCTGGGCTAAAAATTCACAAACTAAACTGAAAATCCGTTGAATAATAATAAGCTCCGAATACCTACTGTGATCTCCTCTCACACCACCCACTCACCATTTCACCCTTCACCACTGGACCTGTCCCTCAGCCCCGCCCGGCCCACTCCTCCCTCACCCAATGGCAATCCACCCCCCGTCCTCAAGCACCACCCCTTTTACACAAGCCCCTCCCCCTGCCCCGTGGGTGGTGTGACGTCAGGTTGTTGTGGTGGGCTGCTTCTGACAGGTCCAGACAATCAGCGTGTTTGTAAATGTCAATTCTGTGTGTGACTTTTCAAATTCTTTGTTTATGGTCAGGGTTTTAAAAGGCAGATATTTTTATGGTAATTGTCGCCGGGTCTATTTTACTATATATTTATGTAATAAATATGTGACTAAATTGACATCTCACTGGCTCTTTGGTCTGTTATTGGTTTTAATTCTTCAACCAGGTACAACATTTGCTGGAAGATTTTCATTAATGGACTAATAAATGAAAACACAAAAAATACCTCCTTTGTCGTCTCCGTCTCTTGATTTTTTGTAAGTATTTCTTTCTTTCATATTTGTGGGTGATTGTGGGCGCTAAAGCAAAGCTAAATATGGCCTTGAGGTACAAGTCTGAACAACAAAGGACAAATCATTTCACTCTCACATTAGTTTAGGAATTTATCCAATTCAGCTTTATTTGTGTCAGACATTTTACCAACACAAAATCTCCAAAGTGCTGCACAGAGTAGGTACAATATAAACTAACACATTAAATTAAATAAAGCATAACATAAATAAGAAAGTCAATAAAAAAACATTAAAAATACTAAAATGAGCAAATAGAAAAATAGCAAATGATATCAATAAAAGAGAGTCAGAGGACCACACAATTCTCATGCCGTGTTAACAACCAGTGAGTAAAAGTGTGTTTTTAAATGAAACATAAATGAATCGACTGAAGGGGGCACTCTTAATGTGCAGGGATCCAAAGTTTGGAGCCAACCACAGCAGGCCCAGTCACCCTGGCTTTTGAGTTTAGTTTTTGGGACTACAGCTTGGAGACCTCAGAGCGCGTGAAGGAGTGTAGGAACAATGAGATCTGAAATGCGCGTTGGGGCCACTCCTAGTCAGGCTGGCGCCACCTAGTGCCTCCGCTCAATTTCAATTTTCTCTCCAGCGACTAGGTCAGGAATCAGAATACACTAAATGGTTTGCAAGAACCCTGGAAGTTGTAGACTGCACACCGGCCAATCAGCAAAGAGCCATACATTCTGTGTTGGCAAAGATTCCTGAGATCGAGGATTTAAAGACAAAATAAAGAGAATGTTTGATGAATTTTATCAAGGGGAAAGACGTTATTACCCTTCTTCCTACGGGATTTGGGAAAAGCTTAATATACCAGTTAACCCCGTTAACGGCGCATTAGATGCGTCACGACCAAATAACAGCGATTGGTTAAATAAAAAAAGTACTCACCTACCCTCGAGCAAACGAATCCTAACACTGCGAGTTCAGACGGTTTCCACGAAGTGAAACCGACTGATGAATCAGGCTAGGCCAGTCCATGAAGTGCTTTAAAAACAAACAATAATATTTTTTAAATCAACTCTAAAATGAACTGGGAGCCAGTGCAATGAGGATAAAATAGGTGTAAAGTGTTATCTATGACGTGTGTCAGTTAAAAGATGTGCTGCAGAATTTTGGACTCACTGTAAGTGTGACAGTTTCGCTTGGCTGATACCAGTGTACGGTGCATTACAGTAGTCAAGACGTGTAGAGATAAAAGCATGGATCACCCACTCCAAATCACTAAAAGATAAACTGGATAAAAGCAGCAGGTGATAAAAACTGGATGTAACCACTGTATTTATCTACTTGTCAATTTAGAAAGAGGTTGGATAACTAAAAGACACACTATATAACTTTTTTGTGTCACTTTTCTCAGTAGAGTGTCCACTACTTGCCTTTCTCCAAATGTGATATTATTATTTTGCCTACAATGCTCCACAGTTTGGCTTTAAACTTACCTATCTTCATGGAGACAAGCAAAGGGTGCCACTAAGCCAAGTCACAAGTCAAATCTGTGGAGAGGCAAGCATCCTCACAGTAAGAATATGTGTTTTTAATTTTTGCGCAATAAAAACACAACAAAGAAATAACATAACAAGCAGTGATTGCAGATCCTCCACTAGAAAAGTTGCACAGTGCCTCTTTAATAGTGGCTTATATGGAAAGTCATGTAAGTCACTCATCTGTATTGTGTTATTGAAAGGAGGCTATATGAGTAATACTTCTTCTTTTAAAATTCTCTATAGTGCTATTATTACAGATTTATTAGACAGGATTAAAGGGACAGTCCAGAATTTTGTGTGGAGAGTGTTGGAGACGTGCGGAGACACTTTTTTAAAATATTCCATCCAGTCCTTGTATTTCCAGAGGTCGCTTGTGCTAGGCTAGTGCGTGTCAATGGCCATAGTTATCCTGCCACTAAAAACAGTCTTACCCACTCCACAAAACACACAAAGCAAATCTATTATTACACCAGACTGTCGATGTGAATGTCTGTGTCGATAGAATAATGTTTGAAATAAAACTAACCTTGCGTTGCATAAATCGTCGCATGTTGAAGGACTATTTTCTCATATATCCGTCCATCCGTCTATCAGGAAGTACAACTCGCTGCTGCTCAGACAAAAATCCTTCAAATGTAAGGTTAGTTTTATTTCAAACATTATTCTATCAACACAGGCATTTACATCAACAGTCTGGCGCAATAATAGATTTGCTTCGGGTGTTTTGTGGAGTGGGTAAGACTGTTTTTAGTGGCAGGATAACTATGGCCATTGACATGCACTAACCTAGCACCAGCGACCTCTGCAAATACAAGGACTGGATGGAATATTTAAAAAAGTGTCTCCACACGTCTCCAACACTCTGATTCACTAGAAAATGAGGTCCTAGGTCCAAATTTCCGAACTGTCCCTTTAAGATTTTGACCACAAAACAAATACCTTCTTCTGTTTAGTCACAGCAAAAACTTTAACATTTGAAATTAAAAATGATTTAGCCATACATTTAAAACAGTTGCAGGCAGCATTCTTGTGATTCTTTTAGTCTAATATTGAAATCATCGTGCAGTGTCGTTGAACTGTTCTATATATAACATTTCTCATTAAATATGTTGTGGACAGATCCTCCAGGCATGACCTTAATCAATGCTTGTCAACAGCTCCACACTTAAGGGCAATATGACTGAAAAAGCAAAGGAATTATGTCTCATATGTTGCCATGGAAACCCTCCGATTGGTCTGCAGCCAATCAGAGGACAGCCGAGAGCAATTTGTTCATAGCTGTGTTTGGCTGCACTGGTACTCATTAGTGGTACTATATAGAATAACTAGAAGCCAAAAGACCAATTAAGTCACATATTATTTTATTATTTTTACTCAGAGGCAGAATGCAGCGAAGTAAGGAAAGAAAGGAGTAAAGTAAGGGATTTAAGCATACATTTTAGCTGCTGAAAAGACTGAGGGGCTATTTTTTAATACATTTCTAGTTTGAGCAAAAACAAATATACAAATAAAAACAGCTTGGAAAAAATTATGTTATGCTTGTATTTAAATCTATACATTTGAAGTTTTATAAGACCTGCAAACTCCTTTAAAGTTTTACTATTTAAGTACATTTTTAAACACGCACATTAAAGAGACAGTTGGTAATTTTGGACATAGGACCTCATTTCCAGTGAGCCAGAGTGTTGGAGACGTGTGGAGACACTTTTTAAAATATTCCATCCAGTCCTTGTATTTACAGAGGTTGCTGGTGCTAGGCTGGTGCATGTCAATGGCCATAGTTAGCCTGCCGCTAAAAACTGTCTTACCCCCTCCACAAAACACCCGAAACAAATCTATTATTACACCAGACTGTCCATGTGAATAGAATACTGTTAGTAAAACCAACTTTGCATTTGAAGGATTTATGTCTGAGCAGCAGTAGCGAGTTGTACTTTCCGATATATGAGAAAATAGTCCCTCAACATTCGATGATTCATGCTATACAAGGTTAGTTTTATTTCAAATATTATTCTATCAACACAGACATTTACATCGACAGTCTGGTGTAATAATAGATTAGCTTACTGTCCCTTTAATGCTTTTACTTGAGTAGATTTTTACTTTTACTTATATACTGTATATACTGTATTTATTTTGCTCTGGCATTTGTACACTTACTCAACACAACAACACAACTGAGTACTTGTCCAATGAGGTTCATTTGGTCTTCCGATTATTTATGTTATTTGGTTCTTTTTTCAAACCAAGAGTTTGTTTTCATACCTGACAGTTTGGACTGTTCACTAGTGCTCTTCCTCAGAGTGGTCACATGATGTTGCTGTGACGTGTCTGGTCAGATGATTTAAACAGGTTTTGGTGTTGTCTTCCTACCAGTGGAGGCAGGACGACAGCGCCATCTGCAGTCCGACTTCCTCATGACAGCATCCCAGGTGTGTGAGAGTAAAAAAGCCCCCTCATCCCGGTTTATAGTCTCGTGGACATGTTTCTGTATTTCGATTGCCTCTTTAATCCAGCAATGATGTTTGTTTTCCTCTGACCATATGATGTTTGCTCCGTCTCAGTCCATTACGTGGTTCTCTATCCTGAGGAAGTCAGACTGCAGATGGCGCTGTCATCCTGCCTCCACCGGTAGGAAGACAGCACCAAAACCTGTATAAATCAGTTGACCAGACACCAACATCACATGACCACTCTGAGGAAGAGCGCTAATGAGCCGCCGAAACTGTCTCTTGGTCTGAAAAAAAGAACCTAATAACATACAGTTGAGTACTTCTTCCACTACTATTTTTACAAGTACTAAAAATATGCTGTTACTCAAGTTATCCCAGAAAACTAGTACCACGATGACTTCCCGCTTCTGACAGTAATGTAATGATGTCTTTATAATCCACAATGAATACTTAATCTCGCTTAGATTGGGGGCCGTCATGTCACTGGAGGAGTGGATTTGCATAATAGAAAAACAATATGAGCTGCTGTAGCGCGGAGAGGGCTCCACTGGGTTTTGGTGATGAGCAGATGAGGAGTAAACAGACTTTGTCCCCTCACATCAGCCTCAGCCTCAGCACGTGTCCACAAACATCCCACCTGATTTACACACACGCCACATCACTTCTGTCTTTCTACACATGAGAGGAGAGACTGGAGACTGGAGAGATAAAACTACTGAGGAGGTAACGAAGTGTTAATGGACCAGTGCGGTGCTATGTACGGGGGTATGCAGGGGGGTTCTGTGTATGTGTTGTTTCTACATGAGGCTGACTTTGTGTGCACAAGGTCAGAGTGATATTTATGTGTTTCAATGTGGTGAAAATTTGCACTGTTGCCATAGCGATTAAAGGTCAAATATTTTTCAGAATTGACTCTTGTGAGATTTAAGCCTTGTTATAATGCTGTTACCTCTCCTGTCCATAAATAAAACTGAAATTATAAAATAATATTAAAT